TCGAACCCAGAGATGACAGAGAGTAGAAACTTCAGTCAAGCTGCACACAAACTGCATCTGACTGTATGAGGTGAGTATGTGATTTCCCATTTGGAAAAATATGTAGAGAACTTGTTGTAAGACAAAGGAAAAACAAAGACTTGGTATTAAACTGAACCATAGCAAAACAAAGAGAGGGCAATGGAAGAAGGGAGAAGTAGAAAAAAAGAAGAAGGTAAAGCACTAAGCAAGAGACATACAGATAGTAGAAGATAGTTAAAGGCAGAATTGTGAACCGACACGCCTTTAAATCACCAGATTTGGAACTCCTGTCTGTTTCTTTAAGACCTACCTACTGTACCATGGGAGTTTGGATTGGTTCTTGTAACTCTGTATATTTCTTCTGATGCCAGTTATAAAACTACCTCAGAAATACTTTATCATTATATTCAAGACCTTGAGTTAATATCACCAGATGCCCCCAAATTTGGGGAGATTTTAATGGCGGGTTGCTTAAGTCAGTTCTCCCTAATTATTATCAATATATAAAAAAATAGACAAGAGGTTTTAGAACGTCTCTGTTATGGAAACTTTAAGATTGCCTTTAAAGCTCTTATCAAACCACTAATTGATCTGTTTACTTATTACCATTGCACTGACAGAGTTGAAAAATAGTGAAGCCCAAGACAAAGTTGTGCATGCATGGGATGATGAAAGAGTTTAAGTAATAGAGTAGAGCAGAGTAGTTAGTTGCCATATGTACACATATGTTGGAATTCTTAATCGCTCTGATCTCTCGAGACAGAGTATATATATTTTAAAAATCTACAAGGCTCAGACAGCTCATTTCAACTCATACTCTTTTATCTGGGACTATCTGGGAGTTTTGCTCACAGGTGATTTGACATGCTCCTGGACTTTCTACTGTACTAACCCTGTCAAGTCCAGTCTTACCTTATGCAGTCAGATAAAAGCATGTTGTGAATATCAAAGCTATGATTTTGGGACCACGTTGTCCGAGCAGAAATCCATCACTGGTATTTATTATTTTCGACTACTTTAATTGTGTTAGGCTTCTCTGGCAAATTTGTTTTTATCACAGTTATTTGAGCTGATAATGATTTGAGCTAATTCATGATAAG